AAGATTCTGAAACTGTCCTATCTACCCTACGTACCCTCTTTGCCGTCCCCCCATATCTATCACCGCAGTTTTTCAGTTCAAGTCTCTCTTTTTGTTTTCGTCCTGACTCATTGCTATTGGGTGCTCCTTAGACCCCAACAAAGGTAGGTCAATGGGGGGGGGTAGCTATAATATATATAGATATATACACACACACATATATATATCCATACATATATATATATACATATGTATATATTTAAGCATACACATACACATCGATATGCCTGATGCAGATGCAGCTCTGGGAGCTTCACGATGTCCATGAGGAGTTCTCCGCAAGCCCTGAAGACTTAAACATCAAAGGTTTGGCATGGCTTTCCTGGCAGATGTGCCCAATTCATGGAGTTCACAGCTCAGCTCGGGAGGGAGGCAGAGAGGGCAGGCCGGAGCACCGCCAAGCCCCACGACTAGTCCCAGCTGAGCAGTTGGACACTTGGCTCAGACAGCTGGAACTTTGATGCTATTCGTATTACAGCTGCATGGCGGTTTCTGAAGCGCCCTGGAGGAGAGATAGAGAGACACGCTGCACACAAGAGTGGGGCTGCGAGGGGAGAGACAGGTTCGGTCCGAGAGTGCTTACTACCCAGGGTCCGACATGTTGGCTGACTTCTACGCCTGGTGGCCGTGTTCTCAGCTCGGCAGGTCAATCCCCAGTGTCCATGGCCATATAGCTGCTCTCAGCTGAAATCAGCTTCAAGTTTTCGGCCTTTAACGAAGATGCGACTGATTTGTGTGCGGCTGACTGATATCTCAAATATGTTCCTAACTGAGAGTTCACTGGTTACAACGGTACTATCATGCACCCACGGGCCAGCACCCATCCAGAAGTCGGTGCTGTCATTGTTCGAAGCTTGTAAACTACCAAAGCCTATTGCTCGCATATACTGACAACAAGAGATACAGAACTTAAAAATATACTTATGTATATATATATATATTTGTACATATGTGGTTTGTAAACATGTGTACTTGTGTCAGACAGAGGGGGAGAGATGTCGCTAATAAGAGCATGTAAACCACGCTACTCTCTTTATATCTACATCTATATCTATAGATTTATGTGCACGTATACATATATATATATAGAGAGAGAGAGAGAGAGAGAGAGAGAGATATACACCGTGTATTTATGTGAACATGTATGCGAGCCTCAGTTTCTACATAGAAATACCCCTAAACCCTAAAGGTACATAAACCCTAAACCCTAAACCTACGGTTGATGACATAAATCCTGCATTACCCATAATGAGGAATATACCATAGTTCCCATAGTTTAGGGTCCTGAAGGTAATGCAGGATTTATATCATCAACAGTAGGAAATAAAGGTGCGTAACCCTAGAGGTACATAAACCTTATAAACCCTAAACCAAGGAAACCCTTCAAACCCTAAACCCTAAATTAAAAACTCCCAGGAAATACAGGTACAAAGAGACAGAGAAAAGCCCTTTCGGATCTCCGCGGCCTTTGGGAGGAGCTCACCGGGCCCAGACGTCTTCGCAGCCTGCCAGGCAGCTTCGGGTGGGTTTTAGGGTTTGGGGCTTAGGGATCTAAGGGTTCCTTATTATGGGCGGTTTAGGGCTATTTAGGGTTTGGGTTTAAAGTTTAGGGTGATCCCTTTCAGGGTTCCTTTATGGGTGTTCAGGGTGTAAGTTTAGGGTTTGGGTTCCGGGTTTTGGGTTCCTGTGCCTCGCTTCCTGGCATATGCATCGACCATGGGTGGAAAGTGGGGCAGGGGTCGTGGATTCAAGTGTCAGGATGCAAGCGGTTGAGATTATGATGGGAGTCCTGATCGAACCAAGCCCCTACCCCAAACCCGTGTGGCCGAGTCTCGGACGATGCCGAGATTCAGGGTTTATACTGTCGGTCAGAGATTAGAATGGCAGTGTTTCCTCCCTCCAGATAAACGAAGGATCCAGTTTGCACCCCTTTGGCGATGTTCCCCCAACCCTAATTAATATAGAGGTTAAAAAAATTACCAATACTATATATATATATATATATTTTTTTTTTTGGGGGGGGGTTCCTTATTATATCTGTAGTACAATGAGCATAACGGGCCCCAAAGCCTATTCTAATCATTAAGGCCCCAACATTAAGCACTACTCCACACTGCTGGCGACTCCCCGATCAGACCGCTTTCTCAGGAGGTGCTATCACTCCAAATGCGGCGCCCTTAGTCTCGTGCCTTGAGATCCGGCTTAGTATGCGCGCATGTATGAAGACGACATAGCACAAAGTAATGTAATGCGATATGCATAACCTAAATCAAAATCAACTGAAGTACAATATAACATAACATCACATGATACTCTGCATACATGTATATATATATATACACAGACATATACATACACATACATGCGCAAATACATACATACATACATACATACATACAACGTAAATCCATACATACGTACGTACTTACTTACTTACGTACCTACATACGTACTTACAGACATACATACAGAAATAATCGAAACATATACCCGTGTGTACAGCCGAAAACCTGAAAGCCTTATGTGTGTAATATCTATATATATATATGTATATGCCTACATACATACATACATGCATACATACATACAAATATGCACGTACGTATGCATGCACGCATGCATGTACGTATGCATGCACACATGCATGTATGTATGCATGCATGCACGCATGTATGTATGTATGTATGTATGTATGTATGTATGCAGGCATGTATTTATGCATGCCTGACCTGGTCGAGCGCGAGTGCTATGTATGTATGTAATGTACGTACGTATGGTATGGTACGGTACGGTAGGATATGGTATGGTATGGTAATGTAATGTGTGTAATGTATGTAATGTATGTAAGTATGTAGTGTATGTAATGTATGTAATGTATGTAATGTATGTAATGTATGTATGTATGTATGTATGTATGTATGTATGTATGTATTAATGTAATGTAATGTAATGTAATGTCATTTAATGGAATGGAATGTAACTTTGTATGTATGTATGTATGTATGCATGCATGCATGCATGCATGCATGTATGTATGTATGTATGTATGTATATATGTACATATGTACGTATGTACGTATGTATGTACGTACGTACGTATGTATGTATGTATGTATGTATGTATGTGCTCCGTGCTCCCGTAGCTGCTCTCAAAAGCGATCGCTTGGTACACGACGGGTAAGTGCGCATCTCTGTGCGTGTGTGTGTGTGTGTGTAAACTTGTTCGTTATTGTGCGTGAAAGAAGGGCTTCATGTTGCCAATGGAGCCAACCTTCGCCCCCCCTGAAGACTTCCTTAGGGTTCGTGGGGGTGGATGCAAGTCGGGTTATCTGATGAAGGGGTAGCTGATTGGTTTTACAAGTGCTGCTACTGACCCTAATGCCACCCATAACCTTGCAAGGGCCGTGTGGGGAACCATTGTAGTACCCTTAAATAGCCGCTGTAGAACCCCTGCAGGACCTGTCATACTGGGGTTTCCGAAAATGGGACCCTAATATAGTACCCTAAATAGTAGGATCCTTATTATATGGACCCCAAAACAAGCTACCCTAATTTTCGGAAAGCCCCATACCTCGACAGAAGCCCCACAGGTGGTGGCAGATGGGCGTCTCGGTCCCCTTCGTACCTCTCGCGGGTATCTCGTCGCGGGTCGGAGCGGCCTACGCCGTGGACTGAGCTCTGCTTTGTAAGGGTAGCAGAGGGCTTTGTGCAAAGTTTAGGGTTTAGGGCTTGGGAGCTGCCAGGCTCTTGAGCTTTAATAAGTTAAGGCCAGGATTTCGGGCTGATATCGAAGCATCTTGCTTGCTAGGTGATGTTGTAGAAGTTGTGCAAGACTAGGGATATTGTGCAAGACTAGGATAGGTCAGGTTTGGTCAGGTCGCCTTGAGGTAGGCCCTGTTCAGGTCAGTAAGTAAGTTATTATGCTAAAATGATTGCCTCACTTGGAAGTTAGACTTCCTCATCCCGAGTTGCTGATGCGTGGAGCCCTGCTGCTAGGCGCTTGGCAAGACTTGCTTGCATTGTTTCTTTGGAAACACTGGTGCGGAAAGCTAAACCCAGCCCCAGCACCGGCTCTAGCATACGACGCAGCCCAAACCCTTAACCGCGTGCTCCAGACTCAAACTAAATCCTGCCCCACAGGGCTCAGCAACACCGCCTGACAATATCATGGGCAACTGCACATCAAGAGCCGGGGTTCAAGCTTGATTTAACCAAGGACCCTCCCAAGGAGGAGCCATCGTTGCTGGTGCTTCGAAGCGTCTTTTGGCACCTGTCGAGCCCCCGGGCAGGCAGATGATGTATTCAGCTTTCACCACACATTCAGAAGGCAGCACTCACTGTTTGTGCTCAAGCACATAGCAAGAGGCCTCGGAGGCCACGCACGTCGTAGTTTAACCAGCATGGTGACAATGCGGCTGGTTCGTTGGCTTGCGCTGTGCCAGTTGGCGGTCAGGAGAGAGGTGATTCCCGATCCATGCGGCGAGAGCTGCGTCAGTCGCCCAGACGCAGGTGACACTGCCTTGTTGCAGACAGCGAAAGCCTCTGGCGACTCTGGCGAGCCCATCTCTTCGAAAGAGTTCGCGGAGAAGATGCAGTGCGATGCACCGGAGAATTCCTTCTCTCTCATCGGAGGTGGCTGGACTTTGGTCTTGAGCGATTTCCAAAACCCTGGTATCCTTTGGGGGGACCTTGCGGTGATTTGGGAGAAGGGAGGTCCTCACAAGGAGTACTTGGGCATCGATTACACCTTCATGTCGCAGAGTTATAGCTTCACGGACTACCTGACTGTGTCCTCTTATTTGGGCGTGACGCTTCTTCCCATGACGCTCTGGGCCTCGCAAGTCATCAAGCTATTCCTGCCGCTGCCCTTTGCCACTGGTTGCAACGATTTCTGGAAGGACAAAGGCTTCAGCGGCCTCTACGTCACGCCGCCATGGAACCTGGCGGCATTGAAAAGCCCGGGCTTTGACGATGCAGGCTGGCCGCGATCCATGGACCCCGAGGATCTCATTGTTGACAGCTTGGCCTTCCGCATCCGTGTCCAGCCAAGGCTGAAGGTTCTCCCAGGCGAGCTGCTGGCTTGAAACACTAACTAATTATATATCTATATATATATATATACACAATCCAGCCAGGACCCCAAAAGGCATCCAGTACTAAAGTTGTACTACAACGGAGCCCAATCCAGCCAGAACGCCAAACGAGGCATTTCCAGGACTAAGGTTGTACTACAACCCAACACAATCCAGCCAGGACCCTAAACGAAGCATTTCCATTACTAAGGTTGTACTATTATATCAGAGCTGTGTATTGTTTGGGATTTGAGTCTCTCAACAGCTTTCAGAGATGCTTCTGTGCCCGAGTTATGTTGAGGTGTTGTTTTTCCTCGTGCGCGAAAGAGCGCGGAAGCTTCGCGAAAGCGGCGCGGAAGGGGCTGTTTCTAGGAGGAAGAATTTCGGATAACACCCATATATATATATAGAGGGATGCCACGACATAGAATAGGAGGACAGATACCCTTTTTGTTGCACGGACGACTCTGCTTGAAGCACCGGTTTCGACGATAAATTCTAATAAAGCGAAATTTGCGCAGGTGAAAGCCCGGATGCCCCGCCGACCATGGAGGTGCGATTGCAATCCTTTTTGGAGCTCCGCCCCGTCTTCCGTACCCCCAGGCCGAGGCCGACGCCAACCACGACAACCACCACCACGAGGCCATACGACCGCCGACGCCGTGGCCACACCGACGCCCCGCCGCCTGACGTCTTGGAGTGGTGCGACAAAAATCTTCGCGGGGTTCCTTGCGGTATCGTGCTCAGAGTCCTCGTCAATCCATTGTGGACCTGTGTCCGATGCTGTCCAGTGGTGCCTAAATGCCGGGACTGCCTCTTCCCGTGTCAAGTTGCCTCCCACCTCCTATCCAACAGCTCCGACTCCGAGGGATCCCCGAGCATCAGCTACCAGGTTAATCGGCTGCCAGGGGTTGATTTGGCTGCTCCAGGCGAGCTCAGCGAGCTGGAGTGGTTTGCAGAGTCACCTGAGTGGCCTGAGAACTTGACCCTTCCTGCCGGATTTCTTTTCGACAGCCCGGACTTGCGCAACTTACTCTCCACTGCCGAGAGGCAGCGAGTGCAAGACTTCAAGGAGACCGTAGATGAGGAGACCGTGCCCCCAGGAAACGTGTGGGTCACCGACGGCGACTGCCCCGTGCCTTTCGCGATCGGCGGCGGTTGCAAATGCAAGGAGGACTGCTGGCGGCTGCCCTACTTCGACCCAAAAATCACATCGGACACGAGCCTTTCCTGCATCGACCGGTCAGCATTTGACCCTCTACCTATCCACCCGGTGGCCCTTCGCAAGACGATATGTGGGCCTAGGAGGGTTCATGCGGCTTCCACGCGGGGCAAGACAATGCAGCTCGACGGCATCGTCGCGCGGTGCGAGGTGGGAACGTTGATAGGTGGTGCTTGCAGTAAGCTCTTGCCGCTCTGGCCACACGATGGCGCCGACTACCTAGCTGCGTTTCCTGAAGATCAGAACATGTTCCGATGCCTCGGAACCGGCGAGTGGAGTGAGAAGCCAGTCCACGAGACAGTGGCCTCTGCATGGTGTCTGGAGCTTGAGGGGAATGAGAAGGTCATCATGGTCAGGAGGGAAGGTCGTGACAGTGCTTCTGTCCAATGTCCTGATGGTTATCAGGTTGTGGGAGGGGGGTGCACCTTTATCGAGGGCACGGAGTTCACGCTTCGTGAGTCTTACCCAACATCCCGGAACACATGGGAGTGCGTCTTTGACTCGACACAGTCCTGTGGCGAAGGCAGTCCGGTGTGTCTGCGAAGTGAGGCTCGCGCTATGTGCCTGGGCATTGCAAGTGCACAGTAATTACCTCCAATTTTCCACGACATGCCTAACACTCCAAGCTGTAGCATGTGTGGCCAACTGCTTTATTTAGAGTAGGGATACTGTTTTAGAGCAGGGATTCTGTATAGAGAATCCTGAAGCCTTCCCTGTGTCTGCTCAGGCGTGCCTGACAGTAAGATGTAGCATGTTACTGGCCTGCAGAGTACCTTAACGGTGCGGCAGAAAAGCACGGAGGCATGTTCCCAAGATGGCGACAGCCCATCTTGCCTTATTCCGCGAATTTAGAGGAACCTGCTTGACAATATAGAACCTCTGAGTGAGGCTGCTGAACAGCGGTAGGCCCTCTTAGGCCTTGTTGTGTCCATGTAGTCACACCGGCTGATTCTGTCGGCACTTACTTTCTGATTTATGTTAGTTATTTGTTCTCCTTTTGTGCTAAATACCTGCCACATGTACAAGTAGCACGCTCAGACCCAACCTGCCATGTCTGCTTTCAGCGAGAGTGTGAGTCGAAACCTATACAGCAGAGAAGTAGCTCCCGTTTGTCGGTACTTTGGGCTCAAAGTATATACCATTTGGGCCCGCATGGACCCTCAGGGTTCGAGCAACCCTCAGGGTTCCATCCGATTTAGGGCTTATGGTGGGCTAGAAACCCTAACAACCCCTGCACATCTATGCAAAGAAGCCTACGCACCTGCACCGAGTCCCCATGTCAATATGGGGATGCCTTAAGCTTGGAAGTACCTTGTCTCGGGCCCCTTCTGACACTGCATTCGGCAACTCTTATTTTCTGAAACATGATTTTGACATCTTGATCCTAAACTAAACCCTTAAACCCGTACAAACCTTCAACGCCTTCTAAACCCCTTAACCTCACCCTACAGCCCTAAGCTGCCAAAACCTCCCTAAACCTGAAACCCAAACCCCTAAAACCCTTACCCTAACCTCTAGACCACGTGGAACCCCCGTAATCAAAAGTCAAACGCCTGGCCTGAGGCCAGCGGGACAGGTCTTCGCGGCGCTTCTGGAGCCAAGCTCTTTGAAGACGTCGTTCAGGGTTCCTCAGGGGTTTCTTTAAGGGGTTTAGGGTTTAGGGTTTCTTTAAGGGTTCCTTGGAGAGTCTCGCTAAGGGGGTTCCTTTTAGGGTTTCTTCGAGACTTGTTTTGGATTCCTTTTCGGGGTTGCTTCAGGGATTCCTTTGTTCTAAGGGTTCCTGTAAGGGCTTGCAGTTGAGGGTTGGGGTGGGGTTTTGCAATTGGATGAATTCAGGGCTCCCTTGAGGGGACTGTATGGGTTCTGGAGGGGATTGAGGTTTTTTTAGATTCTGGTTTGCCCCGGAGCTTTCTCCTAGATGCCTCATGCTCCACAAAATAGAAGCCGTGATACACGCAGCTTGCCTCTCCAATCCGGAGCAAAAGCAGCAAGCTGAAACCTCACAACCCCAAGCGCTTAATCGTATGAACACTGAATCCTATAGGCTTGCGAAAGTATCATGTTGGAGTTGCGAAGCTTCGAGTTCTAAGCCCCCTAAACTTGCAATGTGGAGTCTGGCCATCGAGGGATGTGGATGTGCCTATGGGGCAACGCAGCCCTAAAGCCTATTTTAGAGAAGTGGAAGCCGCCATGGATAGTTCTTACAGGAGCGCTTTGCAACAAGTGCGTCGCCCCGCGTGCAGGGGGCCGAGTTTCGCCATTCAGTGCTTGCACTATTTTTATTCTTCTTCTTATTATTTTGGTTGTTATGATTATTATTATTGTTCTTATCATTATTATTACTCTTCAAGAAGCGAAGTCCAGGAATGAAGAAGAGCAAAGGGGTTACGGGTTTAGGGTGTAAAAGTTTAGGGCCTAATGTTCGCGGCCATTAGTCAGTGCGGTGACGCAGTAGCAGTAGCAGTAGCAGTATGGGCATGTGAAGGCTGAACCTTGCGAGAGTATCCATTGTGTTGGGCATTCCCTGTCTAACCTGATATGTCATGTGCAGCTGTGCTCTTCCGATTAGGTTCCCTAAACCCTAAACCACGGAGCCGAATGAGCTGTTGCCTGCCTGCTGTGAGAGAGTCGAGACCTCGGAGGGTGGGGAAGAGAAGCAGTGTGAAGGATGAGGCAAGAGTCTCTTCAGAAAGCCAGAGCGGCCTGTGCAGCTTCAGGGTTTGGGCGCTCCCAAACAAGTGCAAGCTTCACGCATGAGGTTCAATCTCATCGTTATGTGGGCGGTTGACCTGAATCATGCTGGATACTAAGTCCTGAAAACTAAAGCACATACCCTAAAGTCGAAAAGTCTTAAATTAAAGACAAACCAAATATGCAAAACAAAACACGAGGATTGATTTCATAAATGGCTTAAGGGCGTAAGGGTTGAGGGCTTGGATGTGGGCTCAAGATTGTTAATGAAGCTTCGGGCGCTTCAGGGATTTCTGTTAGGGTTTACAGAAATATACATGTAAACTAAAAAGTGCAATGTAAAATAATCTATAACCTTAGCTTATCTAATAAAGTCTGACATTGCAGTGGCTTCATCGCTGCAGCTCCTTTCTGGTCGCCGCCCTTTTCTCAGTCTCCAGGCAGCTCACCTGGCTTGGGCGTTACACGCACAGCATCAGCATGCGGCAAGTTGGGCCTCAGGCCCTGATTTCGTTGGCGTAGGTGTGGTGCTTTGGTTTATGTAGGGTTTAGGGTTTGGGCTTGGGGCCGGGGGGTTTGTCAAGAAGGGTTCTGGACACACGTGCTCCGGGCATGCCCGGGCCGGGCTTCCATGTTCAGGATAGGGTGCCGGGGGTTTTAAATATCTTTTGGTGTCACGTGTTCTGGTCATAAATACTTGCAGGGTTTCGGCGTCCTGGGCAGATGCTGTCAGACTGACATAACCAAAGCCAGAATACAGCACTCTTCGCCCAAACGTCATGGAGAATTCTCCATGAAAGCCAGGGCGTTTGAGAATCGAAGGCCCTGGCGGCACAACTCCCAGGTCCCAGGACTCCTCTCCCTGCAATTCGTTCGCAGGAGTCGAAGCAGTGGCGATCCTTTGACAGCATGGGGCAGCACACATGTGCGCAGGCCCCTTAGACATGCATTTCGAGGGCCATGAAGGATTTTTCTGGGAACTGCTGATAGAACTCCTGCGCCGTTGACCTATATTGCTATGGGCGGCAGGCTCAGACCTGGCCATGGTGCTGAGTGTTGCGCATGAGGTACGATGCCCCCATCAAGGGAAGTGGTAGCGCGGTCGTCGATATCGGGGGAGCATGCAGGAAGAAGAGGTCCAGGAGATTCAAGGAGCTAGGAGCAGCAGGACAAGGAGGTAGGAGGGGGCCAGTGGACAGAGAGAAGCTGGCGGAGGTAGGAGTCTCGTGACCTCGATGTCGTCTTTATTGCTGATCGGTACACCTTCATCTGTTTCATAAACCCTAAACCCTAAACCCTTATAGTCTATGATATTCTTAAGTTACGGTATTTTGTTGTCGTAACCGTCATCTTCGAGGCTTGATGTTCCAGCAGAGATCTCTCAGATGAAGGTGCGAGATGCATGGCTCCAAGCGAGCTGTTCGAGGCGTTCAGGGTTTGGGGGCTTGTTAATTGGAGATAGATCTCCTAGAGTCCTCTGAGTCCGCGAGAGAGTGAAACAGAGATCTCCTAGAGTTATGATTCAGGGTGGGCTCAAGGTTCGCGGCTGTAAAGCTTCGGGGCGTTTGCATGGCGTGCACTGCTTGCCTGGCATCCTCCAAAGTTACTCGAGTTCAACACGATGTGCGTGGAGAGGTGAGCATGAACACCCCGCCATAGCCATGGGTTTGGGATCCTTCTCTCTTGGCTGCTAGCTGCTGCCTGCTACCTGCCCTCAGGGTGCGTGCTTCTGAAGCCTTTCAGCCAAACATGCCGAGCTCCTACACACTCAAATGTGCAGAAGAAGCAGTACATCTCCAACAGCAGCGCTGTCAGTGTCCTGGAAAGATGCCTCAAACGCTATCCCTCCACCGATCCACAAACAGCAAAGCACCCCACAAAAGCCCGCCCCCCTTCTCCAACAGACAGAAAATTGAGGTGATGGGCATCGGCCTCCCTTTGATGTCGCCAGACAGGGCTTGGCTGCTCAGGTTGCGCCGGGCTCGGACCTTTCTAGAGTCAGGTAGAAGATCTAGAAAATACTCATGTCTCTGATAAGTACTTCTCAGATTGTAGATGTTTTTTCATTTTTTTTTTTTTTTTT